AGCTAGAACAATTCTAAGTTAATAGGTACTCACTTGCTCCAATTAAGTACATATTAATTCTTTTAAGCAATTCATCAAATACCTTGTATGCGTGCTTTTGTGAGTTAAACCACTTTAGAAAAGGGTTATATCAACTCACCTCAAAACTCTTCGAGCCAATACGTAGGCCCCAGTCCAATTTATACCCATCAAACAATCGATTCTACAACAACCAGTGTATTTTAATTAATTTAAAAGTTTCACACCTAAACATGAAATTTACTGTTGATACAGAGAAAGAAGGGAATTAGCTATTCAATTCTTATCTACTACTATTGTAGAATAATTGACAATAGGGAATTTTATATACCTGAGTTCAAGAATTAGTAATTTGTAAAGAATCCTAGAATTTTTCGTGCGTGAGTAATTTCGTGGCTGCCTCTGTTTCGTATAAGGTTTTAAGCCTTTTGTCTGCATGAGAAAACAAAATGTGTTCTGTTTTGTTTAAGGCATTAAGCCTTTTTTCTTTCAATACCCACTTTATGGGCTTTAGTCACGTGACTCCCTTTTTGTTTTATTGTTTTCTCCTTCTTTTTTTTGTTTGTTTTGACTTAACTAATATTTAATTATACTCATTGTTAATAATTGATAATATTAAAATTATTAATATTCCCCTAATTATATATCCAATTATTTATAAATAGAGAAGTAACTCAAAAGTCAATCACAAGGGTTTAAATCAGTAATAGAAGTATAATTTAAGATTTAAAAAATTAAATTCTATATTTAACGTGTCTTGAAACTTTTATAGATTTGAGTAGTGTTACACAATTGCATTAGCATCAAGAAGACTATAGATAAAACAATAAAAAGGGTTAAAAAGATTCACAGCAAGAGAAAGTATGCAGTAGGCAAGAAAAAAATAAGGTAGAAGGAGCAACGAGGCTAGAATTAGGAGTAAGAAGTGCGTATTGAGAGACAAATCTGAGGAGGAAAAGAGTTTTTAATATATATATATATATATNACTATATCATTACCATTAATTCTTTATCGCCTTTGATAATTGCAAAATGTAGTTACCTCAATCTAATTATGCATAATTTCACGTGGACTAAGTAATTAAATATACATACAAATATATCAAATTGCGTAATTACATTAAACTACACTCAAATTCAATTACATAAAAACTTTCCAAACAAGCTATGAGAGTTTAGATATTTGAGCTTTAGTAGTACTTAGTATATTCCTGGAGGAAAATTATTGTGTGGAAACGTGAACTAAATCTTGAAGATGTATTACCAATTATTCATCAGGCAATCAATACATATTAATTTTATTTTTGGACGATATATGCATATAGTAAATACAACCTAATCAGTTTGGTTTTTTTAAGCTAAAATTGTATTAAATGGAACTATGAACATATGCGTCATGTCAAATCCTTAATTTTTTCCCCCAAAGTCTAAGCTCGAGGCAAAATCTGTAGTTTCCTTCTTGACATTGATGAAGAGAAGCAATATCATAATCTTATCTTGCAATAAGGAAGTTGAATGTTGATCAAGTGGATTACTTTGTGTCGTCCAGGTTATTTGACACTTTCTTTTCTATAATTAGAGCAGCTAAATCAATAAAAAATATTTCTTCCATTTAAAAACAAAAACTAAATTGTTCAAAGTTTACGAAGGTAATGATAATGTCTCTCGCGAAGGCTGCAGAGTGGATTATCTTTTCAGCAAAATGTCCCTTATTCTATGACTTCCAGAATTAACCCTAGTTTCTAATTTGAAATATCTACCAAGGGTAGTGTGATAGTATTCATTGGTGTTCTCTATATTTGCTACAAGGTTGAGACATATGTGCACTCCTTTATATTTTCATGTGTTCGCTCGCTCCATTATATTTTAAATCTCCTTGATACCAACTAGCTAGTTTATTGATTAAGTCATTAAGGAGGCTGAAAAATTGTTCTCCTTTATGTTTTTTTATTATTATATCAAGGTAAACTAAAAGGATACAGGAAATATAGGAACTTATATAGCGTAAATTTTGCTCATTTCTGTGTTTAGATTGAGTTTTCCGTCTTTGTACTTCCACTCACCGAATAGATGAAAATGTTAGACTTATTCAATTAAAAAAGTAAAATAAATAAGTATGCATGTTATTGTTTGATTTCTTGAGAGTAAAAGTGGGAAAATTTTATTCGCGAAAATAGACATAAGTCATTTTTTTTTTTTTTGCAGAATATAATATGGATTGCTAATTCACAAAACTAATCAGCATGGAAATATTTTTTTAATGGGTTAAATCATAAATGGAGACTGTTAATTTTGAGGGGCATAACTGAGCCAATGCACTAAGAGGGAGGGTAATTTTGAAACCAAAACCAAATGGAGGGTATTATTATGCTGTCTTTCAATAGTTCAGGCAATTTTGGCCCTTTTCTCTATATCATAGTATCATGTATTCGCATTAATTAGTATAGTCTATAGAGTGTACTTTTAACAAGAACGACAAAGGGTCAAATATACCCCTCTATTTTCGAAAATGGTCTAAAAATATCTTTCGTTATACTATTGAGTTATTTATACCCCTGCAGTCATATTTTGGGTTCAAATATAACCCTCATTTAAACAGAAAGACACATGTCATCGTCTTGTTGGTCAATTCTAAATATCTTCTAATTAATTAAAAGGACTCATTAATCATACCCAAAAAGCATTTTTTTTTTGTAAAAATTGGAAAAAACTGAAATTATTTTTACTAAAAACTGAAAAAAGAAAAGAAAAAAAAATTCAGTTTTACAAAAAAACTGCTTTAGAAAAAATTGAATTTTTTTTTTCTAAAACAATGTTTTTGAAAAAACTGAAAAATAAAAGCTGAAAATCAATTTTCTAAAGCAATATTTTTTTGTAAAAACTGAAATCTTTTTTACTAAAAACTGAAAAAAACGAAAATATTTTTTTTTCCAGTTTTTACAAAAAAACTGCTTTAAAAAAAGCTGAAAAATATTTTCTAAAACAATATTTTTATAAAAACTGGAAAAAAACTAAAAAGCAAATTTCTAAAGCAGTGTTTTTGTAAAAACTGAAAAAACAATATTTTTTTTTCCAGTTTTTACAAAAAAACTGCTTTAAAAAAAGCTGAAAAATATTTTCTAAAACAATATTTTTATAAAAACTGGAAAAAAACTAAAAAGCAAATTTCTAAAGCAGTGTTTTTGTAAAAACTGAAAAAACAATATTTTTTTTTCCAGTTTTTAGTTAAAAATATTTCAGTTTTTTTCAGTTTTTAATTGCTTTAGAAAATTACTTTTCAGTTTTTTTTTCAGTTTTTACAAAAATATTTTTCAGTTTTTTTAAAGCAGTTTTTTGTAAAAACTGGAAAAAAAAATATTTTCATTTTTTTCAGTTTCTAGTAAAAATATTTTTTTAGTTTTTTCCAGTTTTTACAAAAAAAATAATTATTTTTCGGGTATGGATAATGAGTCTTTTTAATTAATTAGAAAATATTTAGAATTGACCAACAGGACGATGACATGTGTCCCTCCGTTTAAATGAGGAGTATATTTGAACTCAAAGTATGACTGCAGGGGTATAAATAACCCAATAGTATAACGATGAGTATTCTTAGACCATTTTCGAAAATAAAGAGGTATACTTGGCTCTTTGCCGTAACAATAAAGGTCACATTTGATTTGAAATAATCTAAGTACTTTTCAATGTGTATGACAAAGAATGTGTCGCTGGCTGCTGTTGCACGAGGGTAAGGAAAATCTTGTCTTTATGGTTAAATAAACATTCTTTCTGAAAGAAGAGGATGACATCTTAAAATCTAGTGTTTTTTCCTATAATAATAGCCTTTCTTTTTGGAAAAGCATTGTTTCCTCAATTTCAATTTAGACGAGTAAGTTTGACTCGACAAGGACTTTAAGAAATGAAAAGAAAACTTTTGAAACTTGTGGGGCCATGACTTTTGTGTGGTTATAAAAACTTCTCATTAAGGGTAAAATGGATAAAATAAAGAGTTTAAAATTAAATTATTTTCAAATTTAGAAATGTGTCATTTATTTTGGAACAAATTAAAAAGAAAAATACCTCATCTAATTTGAAACGGAGGGAGTACTCTAAGATGTTAAATCATGTTATTAGGTATAATTTTCATTTATTGAATCAACATAAGGGTCAATAATACTTATGAATTAAAAAGGAACAGACTCTATATTAGACTATATATAGCTGTAACCCAATTCCCTAACTTTACCCATGATTATCTCTAATTGTTGGGGAATAACTTCACATATGTGTCCTACCAACAAGTTAGACCATAGACTTTACAATTAAATGTAGTTTCTGGAATTTAGCAAATCAAACAGGAATTATGGAAGCCAGCCTTTGATTTGAAAATCAAAAATTTCACAACTAAACATTGACCGGCATTACTTTGACTTTTAAGTTACTAAAAAGCTTATAACACTTGAAGCTTAGAGTGTATTTGGATTTTATCACACAATTTTTATTGTAGCTCTTCACTTTCCCTTCCTGCTCCTCTAATGTAATAGAATTTTTTTTTAAAATTTGAAAGTATTAGGCATGGGATAACAGTTGTCTTTTTCACTTAAATAAATGTAGGATAATATATATAAGAAGAGGATAAAGTAAGCAGAGAACCAAGTCTGTGTTACCTGCTGTGGTGACTTTTAAGTCTTGAAGTTTGCTAATGCCTCCCAGCTCACATACAAATAAATACTCATAAGATAGCAAATCATATATAGCTTTTCTATCTCTTTCAATGGCGCTAATCAAGCTAGCTCTAACATGAAGAAAAAAAAACCAACTCATATATAGAATCCCTCCTTATACTCTTCATTACACTTCACTTATGGCTAACTTTTTCAGTAACTTCATCTTCTTCTACACCTCAAAATATACCATAAAAGCATCCTTAACCTTAAGCAAAATCTTCCCATTCTTGAATTAGTTCCAACATTTAGAAGTCATATTGTGGTAGGATGAAAAATATGATTCCTGCTTGTTTTAGTATTCCTCATTCTGGTCTTTCATCAAACATTACTACTACTACTACTACTACTACTTCACAAGTGCCTCAAAACCTTGTTCCATGTATTTACCAAGCTCAGATTTGTGACTCACCAGTTTATCTTACACTCACTTGGTCCAAGAACATGTTTTCTCATTCTTTATTACTCCATGCACCTGATCTTTTCTCCATCACCATTCCTCTTCACCAATCTTCCTTTGCATTATTCAAAGCCCGGCCCGGATCCAAATCCATCCACCCGATCCAACGTGATCATAGAAAAATGAAGATCTATTGGGACTTCACACATGCCAAGTTTAATCAAAACTCAGCTGATCCTGAAGGGCGTTTTTACATTGCTATCACTTCCAATGCAAGATTGGAGTTTTTTCTTGGTGATATGTTGACGGAGTTAACGGGCCGGGCCAGGTTGGCCTCAGGCTGTTGCTCGGGCGAGCTGACTTTGTTGTCGAGGCGAGAGCATGTGTTTGGACGTAGGAGTTATACTACTCGGGCTCGGATTATGGGGGTCAAACATGAATTTGTGATAGAATGTGGGGGTGGAGTGCTAAAAGTGAAAGTGGATGGGAAAACAAGTCTTGTAGTGAAAAGACTTGGGTGGAAATTTAGGGGCAATGAAAGAATTTTAGTTGGTCAAGTGGAGGTACACTTTTTTTGGGATGTCTTCAATTGGGTAAATAAAAACAAATGTGGCAATCATAATAAATTTGGGCATGGACATGGTGTTTTTGTGTTCCAAGTAGGTGATGGTGGTGTTTGGCCTGAAATGGGTGGCGCCGAGAAGAAACTAATGAGGAAAAGTTTGTTGGCAACCGTCGGGCCGATGTCAGCACCACCGTCAGTTTCTTTGTTATCGTCGCCGTCGCCGTCGTGCTCTAGTGTGTTGCAGTGGGCAGAGGAGAGTAGCGAATGTGGGAGGAGTTCATGGTCATCTATAAGATCAAGTGGGAGTAGTACTGGAGGATTTTCTTTGTTACTGTATGCATGGAGGAAAGATTGAGATTAATTGATTTTTTTTCGTTCCGTTATTCACATTATTTATGAGTATTAAATTGTAATAACAGAGCAACCTGCAATTTTGTTCCTGATCATGTGAAATATCACCTAACTAGTAGCCCCACGGAATAATCAGCTTGGTTTTGCATGTCTACTTTCTAACACTGCCATTAGCTGATTTTCCTCTTCTTTTGCATGGATTTCATACACTTCTCCAGAAGATCTGAACATTTTCAAAATGGGACTTGCTCATTCATTTGAATTGGTTCTTACCAAGTCACTAGAAACAGTTTCTACTGAATTATCGCTGACAAATTCAAGAATAATGGCTATAGGCTATAGAAGAGAGGTTATGTTGGAGAAGCAATGGGGCTCAAATAGAAGAATCCTATTCTTCATGAGTTTCTTAGAAAGAATCCTCAGCTAAGAAACCTTCCTCTGTAGAGTTTTCACTCACTAAAGCTCCTCAAACCAGGCGTAAAAATCTGGCCAACGGCTTCAAGAGCAGAAATGTTCCAGCTCTCAACGTGCTTAACAATCTGTTTAGAGATAGGAGGAATCAATATGAGGGAAGAAAATTACCCAGTAACAAATTACACCCGATGCTCTAGTATTTGAATTGAAGAGATCAACTCTTTTTTACTTACCTTGAATTGTTCATCTAGATCATAGACTGTATTTCCATCAACAGAGATGAGAGGTCTCCATGGAAGTTTGAGGGATGTTCTACAAGAAAGATGAAAAGTTAGCATGTTTACAATCATAAGAATCCTAAGACAACTCTGATATTCTTTTACATCCAGAAAGACATCATTTTCTAATAGGAAGTTGAAAACTAAAGATTAGCTAAGTTGGATGAGTTTTTGGTCACATAACGTCAAAGAGAAAATTTCAGGTTTCCATATTCTCGAGTGTCAAGGCAACTATGGAACTTCCACCTAGATATCTGGAAGAAGAATCCCATGGACAAAACTGTATGTGAGCATAACCCTAATACTAAAACACTAGATGCAATTTGTAAGAATACAGAAATGGATGTCTGTTGGTGAATGAAGACAAAGTGCAGCAACTTTTGTGAGTGAAATCATTCATGTGGTTTAGAGGTTTTCCACAATTCAGTTCAATAATGACTAACCTTTTCAAAGCAGGTTTAGTTATGTAAACAAATAATCTGATAATAATCAACTCCAATAGGGAATTTCTTAACTAAGTATACTGGATTCTCGGGAAGCTAACAGATTTAATCACTTATCAGGATCAAACATGCATAATTGACAGAAACAAACATCAAATGCTTTGAGCTGGAGAGCAGTAAATAACACTGTGTAAGCAAATATTCAGCCTTTACGCTACCAAAAATATGAGAATAGAACCAAGCACCTCAGTTTCCAGTATGCCACTACGACTTCTGTATCAGAATCATTACCCTGTACATCAGGCGGATAGGCATTAAACAAAATGTTCCTGATAGAGGAAAGGAAGATTTGAATATTGTAAATGCAATAAAGAAACAGACATATCACAATAATTATAAAAGAATGCTTGGACACATTTAAAAGAATCCAATGCTTGACAACACTTCCCACTAAGCATTCAGCGGTTATTAAGTCTATTTTGGATTTGTTTTGCTTTTCTTTTTATTCTTTAATACTGTTAGTGAACTGACAGTACATACCTTCTCAATCTTTTCTAATATGATTGATGGACTATCAAAAAATGGTACCAGCAATTGCAAGTTGCGGGAATACAAGTCCCTTCCTGGATTACACAATCATAAGATAAGATGAATTATCTTTTGGGTTGTTGAAATCAGTAAACTTCTAGCTTTGAAAGATTGTTAATTCCTGTTGTTATTCATCTAATGGAACATACTACTCCTAAGCTAGTCCAGAAACTGAGATAGATGCCTAGATTACTGACACTAGCAATAGCTGCAGCATAAAAGAGACAAAAACAAGGGATATTACAAAATGAACTTATCACATACAGAATAACTTCAGTGATATTAGCTGACAGCTAAGATGTTTATGCAAACCAAAAAAAAAAAAATGGCAGTACTACGGAATGTGCTAGTAGTACACAGAGCGGGTAAAATTAGAGGTCACATTAATAGATGGGCTGACCGTGTCTTATGCAACCTCCAAATGCACCGACCTGTATGCATAATCTTAGTTCTAAGGTATGATCCAACTTACTACTGAAAGGAATGGGTTTATTAAAGGTTATCTATGATACTATGTGAAAGAATATCAGCATCCAACACAAGAGTGTAAGGCAAAAAATTGAACAGCCTAATACTTTTCTAATATTCTTTAACACCGAGTGCGGGGCATGCTTCTCTTACAAAAATAAATGTCGATTTCAAAATTTTAGGAATAAGCAAGTATATTCCTTGATGTGCCACAACTGTGATGCAAATGTCAAATACTGTGCCATCAGATACTGAAATTAATCCCCCTTACCACTGAATTTTATAGTTGGATCTTCAAAGATGCAATCTTCTGCATAAATTCCACTGGTGAAGAGCCCTAAATTGAATGAAAGCTCTAAATCAGCCAAAAACCAGTGTATCTTTAACCACACAAATAAGCTTAAACAATAATGTAATATATTACTCAACAACAACAACAACCCATATAATTCCACTAGTGGGGTCTGGGGAGGGTAGTGTATACACAGACCTTACCCCTACCCTTAGATAGAGATAGAGAGGCTGTTTCCGATAGACCCCCGACTCCCTCCCTCCAAGAACTCCCCACCTTGCTCTTGGGATGACTCGAACTCACAACCTCTTGATTGGAAGTGGAGGGTGCTCACCACTAGAGCAACCCACTCTTGTCAATGTAATATACTCAAAATCAGGAAATAGAAAAGAATCTTTGCTACAGACATTTGACATGAAGATTTTAACTAAACAGCCTCTGTGTATGTTAATTCAATCTTCACTAAAGTCCATGAATTATGTTTATACTCCCACGTTAGCTTCAGAACTGCAGCTATTTGGGAAGTATATACTAAGAGATAAACAAGGATATACCTGTAACAAAATAAGCTTGCTCATAATCTGACTTGATAATCTTTAGAACATCTTCTATGTTAGAAACCAAAGGTTCTTCAGCCCCTTCATCATCAGATATCTCCAATCTGTCAAAACATTAATCAGGAAACATACTAAATCTTGAAAAATACTAATTTACCCAATTTGAGAAAATGCATCCAATGACAATTTCCAATAACCTGTTTCTTTTAATTGGTGAGGAGAAGGTGAAGAGCCTAAGGAGTTCAGTAACACCAGTCACAGCAACTTTCAAGAATTTGGGAGTTTGGGTTTTCATCTTCTGGTTATTGGGTGCAGGGGAGCAGCAGTAGAAACCTTGCACTTTCTGATTCGAACAAAAACAAAACAAGAATTGCAAGAGATCAACTGAGGGAGCAGAGATTTTCCAAGGGCAAGAAGATGGTAATTTTATACTTTAACCAAACCTGGTTCATGAGGGTCTGTGAGAGCCTTCCATAGCAACACATACCCGCCATTTCCCAACCTGTCAGTTTGCTTTGCTCCATAGTGGATATATATTAAATTCCTTTTTTTTTTAAAATGACAATTACTAGTAGGTCACTCCGGTCAATATATTCTGTTTTGAAGTTTTTACTTTTTTGCACAACTTCAAGAAAGTACAATTTATCTTTCATAAATAAAACGTCTCACTTAAATAATACTTCTACTAATTTGAACAATGGTAAATTCAATAATAAATGATTTCTTGTTTCCTAAAAGGCAATTTGTTGAAAACATCTTAATATTTCGTGCTTGAGGTAATTGTTGTCAATGAGTTTTTTTTCGTTTTGAAAATAATTTGAATTTCAAAAGTGGTTTAGAGGTGGTTTCAACTTCTAGTCACAAATTTTCAATTTTCGCACTTTTTTTTTGTTTTTGTTGAGAAAAACTACAACTACCAAAACACAATAATTGTCATACTTTTTTTCATCTTCAACACAGATTTTGTCCAAACGCAGAGTCACAGAATAAAGCGATCTAGCTTGCAAAAGAGCATTTGCTACATGAAAACTAATCCATTAGTCCTGAATTGGAAAGATATATCTATTTCTGTTTCAATAAAGCAGCTGTCTTGACTTCCCGAGTACATTCCAAAACAACAACAGATACAATAAACAAAGCAAGAAGCAAAGTTCAAGGCGGACTATTTCTCGCCCTCCCTAAAGCCAATCAACTATTTAACCAAAAACCTCTTTAGAGAAGTATGTTACTGCTGAGCACACTGTATTCAGTATTCTCTGTGCTCCACAATTCACAATGCATCCCCTCATCCTCATCGTATGTCTCTCGTTGAGCTGCTGCTTGCTTAGCATTCCTCCTCAATATTAACATCATGTAATGTTGTATCCTCACACTCATCCAATTCCTTGTCTGAGTACTGTGATTGAGGTCTTGGTGATAAGATCGTCCTCTAGAGCCTTCAACTGTTCTGGGCTCAGAGAATCTCTAAATTCCACAATGAACTGAATGTACACTTTACCCCTCATGTATAGCCTCTGATGCATTGGCATACCCTCATCACTGATTGCCTTGAATTGATTTGCAACAGTTGGAACAAAAAGGAGTATCAAAGTGAAATAACACTTCACTAAAACCAACTTGCACAATCATTTCAGACAACAGAATCAGTTAAATACAACAAAGTCAATGATATAGGCAAATCCTGACTGCCAAGTTCTCCCAAAAGGAAGCCAAAACATAAGCAAAGCCCACCGATGACACAATGAAGGCATGTAATAGGGGCATATATATGGATATCTGAGTTCAATTTAGTCAAATTTCATAGAAATGTCTGCAATAATTTAGAAAGTTATCCACCATACATCAAAGTAATACATGACATGTCAGTTTTCTCAAGCAACTGTACAATAACAAAGACCTCTTTTTATTATCCAAGGATAAAACTCTCACCACCTTAGACTCTAATTCGGATCAAGTCTGAGTTTACTGCAATCCATAACAAGGATAAAATCAAGTGGACTTCCAGCAGAGGTACTTTAATCTTGTTAGATTGAATGGAAGGAGCTAACTAGTTATCCAACCAAACGTAAATAATTGCTAGACACAAAAGGGTTACTTTTCAAATATTCAAGAATCAAGAATGGGTGTTCAAGATCAATTAACGAACTTGGTCGTCAGCATATTATTGAATTTGGCCCACGTAATACATTGATATCCTATTTTTTTTCCTTCTTGTTCTTTCCTCGATACAGAGCTCATAGTCACCCCAAAAATGACAGAACTGCTCATCTGACTATACTTAAGAGCAACACCCACTTCTCAAACTCTGCAGTAGCCTCAGGTACCCAAACTCTTCTGGTCTGATGTACCCATGCCGGAAAAGGAAATGAATAATGACAAGATTACAGTTTGCTTTAAAGAACGATGTACTTCGAATGACATTTGCAACTTGTGTAACTGGGACCAATCGAAAACTTTCAACCTCCCCATCCTCATTACGAGGAACAAAGCCTTCAGCAGGAAGCTTAAGATCATAACAAAACAGGACATCTCTCTTCATCCTATATCCTTCTATGTCAACGTACGACACAGCTCCAACTGGCACAGCTTGACGCGAAATAGACCTCGGTATCCCTGCCTCCTCTTTACATTCCTTAACAACATTCTCCCAGCAAGAAATGCCATGTGGCAATCCCCCTGCAACTAAATGATCCAGCATTCCTGGATAAGTGGATTTTGTTGCACTTCTCTTAGCTAACCATAAAAATTTCTGGTCATTTTTCTCAACATAGCCACTCATATGAATCCCATAAGCTTTTATACCAAAATACGGCGCAGCTGCTCGTTCCAGCGAGAAAAATACCGGTTCCCCGAAAGATGAAACTACCGGATATAACTCATTTCTAATGCCTGGAATTAATTCGCCTAAAGACTTCACAACATTGGCTACAGCTTTAGTTCGATCCTCAGGTGTCCTCAGGTTTGGATGTAAAGTGCAATATTGACTACTATTATTTTGGGGGAAAATGAATACATTTTGAAATGGCTTAAGATAATCAGCAAACACATGGTGAACGTACCCAATCGTTTGGTCTTCCATAACGAAAGGCATGAACTCGCTTTGCTTCTCCAAATTGCGATTACAGAGCTTGATTTTATCGAAGAAAGCTGAGAGGGTAGAAGAGTCATTTTGAGGAGATTCGGGGAGTTGAAGGACGTCGTTCCAGGTGAAGCTACTGCCGCCGGCAGCTGAAATGGCAAATGAACGTAATTGCCGGCGGCGGAAAGGGGAAATTGGGGATCTGAGACTCGGAATTGGAATTGGGGTATAAGAAATAAAGCGAGGGAGCCTCTGAGAAATGGAGTGACAGTAGTAATTGCAACCCATTTTTACAATACTACTTCACACCTCAACTAAAGTGTGCTTCAATTGTGGAGACTTGTAATGTAAAAAATTTCGCAACACTGATAACGTTACGATGTTGTGATTTGTGAGGATAGAAAGAGGTGAACCTTAGGTTTACGGTTAGTTTGGTAGGATTTATTAAGAAAAATAATAATATATTAACTTTCATATTATTAATACTTTATTTGATAGTGATATTTTTTAACATAGGTATAATTAACTAAAGCCATACACAAATTATGACATTAGTAATATCGTAATTTTTAATATATGAATAAACATATATAAAGATAGAGCTGTCCTTTCAAAATATTTTTTAAATTATTTTCAATGCACGCGGAGGGTATTTTTATAAACAAACTATTTTCTTAAAAAAAATTATGTAATGTATGTTTTTTTAATACACACCATTACTTATCTCAATATTGCTATCCCTTAATTTAATATTATTCTTATACATCCTATGAAATGAATTTCCGTTATGAGAAATATAATGACATATTTTATTAAATATAGATTGAATGTGTTAAATTAAGTAATACAAGTAAAATAAATATAATATAATAACTTAGGGGTTAAAAAGTTATTTTTATTTTTATTTGTATTTTTTAATATTCTATGTCAAGATTTAACTTAGGGAGAGCATCGAGTTGATATTGACAAGATTGAGTTGCTTCGAAGAAATTTTGTACTATGAAATAACTATAGTGACATTTGATTGACCAACCTTATCCTTGTAAACCGTCCCAAACTAAATGTTTGGCTTCGCTTATTAATGGACTGACAAATTATTTTCTGTTTAAGCGCACTAATATTTTAGTAGTGGTGGTGGCGGCAACACACCACCATTACCTTGCTCTCTCTTTTCACTCTCTAGTCTCATCCAATAACCAACCGCACATCACTAAAAGCCAAATCCAAAAACAACCCAATTCCCATTCGGCACCTAACTGAACTACAACTTAGCACCAATTAAGGCCTTTATTTGGCATCTTACATCTGCCAAATTTCTCATTTATAGCATCTCCTAATCTTTAGATACCTTTTCTTCTTGTTTTGTTTTTCTATCCTTCACTTCATGCTTTCTTGTTTTACCCATCTCTTCCATTTTCTTGGCATTTGACAACAAAAGGTTCCATTTTTTTTCCTTTTTGCTGTATATAGCACAATTCAATGGCTACTTCTTCAGCTTATCTTTGTTGTCCTGCAACTTCTGCTACTGGAAAGAAACATATTTTGCCAAATGGGTCAGCTGGATTCTTGGTTTTCCGTGGTCCCCGTTTGTCCAACCGGTTTGTGACCCGGAAGTCAGTTATTCGTGCTGATTTGGACTCCATGGTCTCTGATATGAGTACTAATGGTAAAGTTTATCCACTTCCCTATTTAAATTTTCATCCAATGTTGTGTATCGAAGAAATCTTGGACTATAGTTTGAGATATTGAACTGAATTGTGAAAGGGTGTTAAGTAATTGTGTTTTCCTATGTGTATAGCTCGGTTGGAAGTGTCTTTTGTCTTTGACTTTTGTTCTCTAATTTTGGTGGAAGATAATATTTCTGTGGGTACCAAGCCACGAACTTTGAGGTTAATATTTTTTTTTGTGTGTATTTTGTTGGATGCTTTGGATATCAGCCGTTTGTTTTTTAAAAAAACTGTTTTGTGTATGTCTTGATTGCACATTTATGTTTTCTCTTGGAGCCTTGCTTTTAAACTTGGAACATTTGACTTAAGGTGGTGGTATTTATCTGTGTTGTAAATTCAGAAGTTTTAGTGGACGATAGGATTTTTAAGGATGTCAGCTCACTTTGAGGTTGATGGTTCTTTGTACTTTCCTGTATTCTTTTGTATCATAGATTTCTTCTAAAAGGAATAATGACTAGCAAACTAGGGCTTCTTGCATTTCATGTCAAGTTTTGTTTAGCAAGGAAATAGTGCCAATGCATCACATCCAAACCATTAATCCAATAAAAGAGCAATCATAGGTCAGAGGGTCCACAATAGTTTTGGATTGAATTAAGCTGTGAAGATGTGTGTGTTTGAGGTTGGGGAAGGGGGAGAGGGTGGGGCGGGAATGATTAAAAGATGAAAGGGTTGAGACAATTCATTCCCTTTTGTGTACTTGCTTTCGCAGGATCAGTCTAGGACTGGATATGTCAAGAATATCAGGATGTTATTTCCTTTTTGGTTCGTTTCACTATTATTGGAACAAAAGCGTAGGCAACGTTGGAAAACTAAAAAACTTCACAATCATTTCAATCTTCTCTCTTTAGACAGAAATATATACTTTTTTTGTAACTTAAAGATAAACAGTTGTTGTACTAAAATATTGAAAAAGGTAAAATTAGTTCCGGTATAGTGTCTGGAGACCAGGAAGGACGATCTCCTGTTATATAAGTCAATCTACTGCTAATGAAACAAATTTTCAACTTGCAGCTCCAAAAGGGCTATTTCCACCTGAACCTGAACATTATCGGGGGCCAAAGCTGAAAGTAGCTATTATTGGAGCTGGGCTTGCAGGCATGTCAACTGCTGTGGAGCTCTTGGATCAAGGACATGAGGTTCCGAAGCCTAACATCCCCTTCCAAAAATTGCTATAATCAGTTTACTCTGCAGCAGAACTATTATCCGAAAAACAAAAAATGAAAAAGCAGCCTTTGTCTTTGTGTTTTTCCCTGTGACCTGGAATTTTTATTTATTCTACTTTTTTTCAGGTGGATATATATGAATCAAGGCCTTTTATTGGTGGGAAAGTGGGATCTTTTGTTGATAGACGTGGAAACCACATTGAAATGGGACTGCATGTGTTCTTTGGTTGCTATAATAATTTGTTCCGTTTGTTAAAAAAGGTGCACAGAGCTCTCCGTTCATAGTTATATTGTATTTCTACTTACTGAATCGTTGAGCATGCAATGGAACTGCATTACTGCTCACTCATAGCTAAGGTGCATTTGCAAAATTTAGACCAAAGTTTGTGCTGAGTACTTATGCCAGTAGAAATGCCTAAGATTAAACTTCGTCTGAAAGTAGGACAATGGATATTAAAGTGCCAAGGAGTTTTGATAGTTTTTTTTTTCTGTTCATGTTTATCATTTAAGTAACTCTATTTCTCTTTTTCTGGTTGATGTAGGTGGGTGCTGAAAAAAATCTGCTAGTGAAGGACCATACTCACACATTTGTAAATAAAGGGGGTGAAATAGGGGGTATGATTTTATTTGTGCGACAGAAAATCTTTCATCTAGGGGAACTTTAAAATGCTTTCACAAATGACTCCTAGAGGAACATGTCTTCCAATATATAAAGTTAACATGGTCTGTTACTACCTAATTTGCCATCCATACCTCAATGCAGAGCTTGATTTCCGCTTTCCAGTTGGAGCACCCCTACACGGAATTAATGCATTTTTGTCTACCAATCAGCTAAAGGTAACATGCTAGTTCCCTCTTCGTAATTGATTTTGCAGTTCATGGTACCTCTTATACTAAAATAAAAAATGTCCAGTATAGATCCTTGGTTTGATCACTGTTAATGATCATGCCTTTGGCATTTGACTCTTGGCTTCATTTATTGCTGCACCTACATCAACTCCTTCTTAACGGTTCACTTACATAGACCGTCGAATGGTGTAATAGTGATTTTCGGGCTGGCTGTCTACCATTATTAATTCGTGGTTTTCCTTGGAAAAAGAAGAGAGAAGAATATCAGTTATTGTCATTTCTGTGTTGCTGTTGTTGCAAACCCTGATTACTGCTCGTCTTAAATGTGATCACCCATAACGTGTTCCTGCCTTTAAATGCAGATTTATGATAAGGCTAGAAATGCTGTAGCTCTTGCCCTTAGTCCAGTGGTGCGGGCTTTAGTTGATCCAGATGGCGCGTTGCAGCAGATACGTGATCTAGATAGTGTAAGGGTTATTTCTTTTTTCTTCTTCCTTCTCATCAACAAGTCAGATAGCCTGTTTCTCTGCAAGGATGTGTCCTCTCCCAGCTACTTGTTCCTTATAATATCTGTTTCAACTTTCAGGTAAGCTTTTCAGAGTGGTTTATGTCTAAAGGTGGGACGCGTGCTAGCATCCAGAGGATGTGGGATCCTGTCGCATATGCTCTTGGATTCATTGACTGTGACAATATCAGTGCTCGGTGTATGCTCACTATATTTGCATTATTTGCCACTAAAACGGAGGCTTCCCTATTACGCATGCTTAAAGGTTCTCCGGACGTTTATTTGAGTGGTCCAATTAAGAAGTACATCTTGGATAAGGGGGGAAGGTAAGACCAAATATGGAAACAGCTGCTCACTGTGGATTAGCAGATTTTGGCCTTGAATTGCTCTTATTGTGAACCAGCAGATTTAAGCTTAAAATTTCTCCTGAATGAACTAGTTATGCTCTACCAATTTTGAATCTTTATCTGTTAACAGGTTTCACATGAGGTGGGGGTGCAGACAGGTACTCTATGAGACATCCTCTGATGGCAGTATGTATGTCAGCGGGCTTGCCATGTCAAAGGTGAATCTTTTTTTTAAATTGATTTATCACTTTTGAAAAGAATACCTTTCAATAGGTTCAAATGTTAGGCTCTTTTATGCATATACTTCATGCTGCTTTAAAGTGTGGATGTGTTCATCAACTGCTATGGTGTCATATGTGCAGGCCACTCAGAAGAAAGTTGTAAAAGCTGATGCCTATGTCGCTGGTTGGTAATCAACAATATGATTAGTGTGTACTTTCCTCTCATTTTCCTCCTTTTCAACAGCATGAAACTGAAAATGTTTTGGCTGATATCTAATTGCAGCATGTGATGTCCCTGGAATTAAACGATTGGTACCTCAGAAGTGGAGGGAATTGGAATTCTTTGACAACATTTACAAATTGGTTGGAGTGCCTGTTGTTACGGTACAACTACGATACAATGGCTGGGTTACAGAGTTGCAGGACTTGGAGCGTTCGAGGTGTTACATTTGTGGCTCAGAAGCAACTATTTTCCTCAATATGAAATTTTTTTATGATGAAATAACTACTATATCTGTGTGTTAGATAAGAATTCTCTCTGTAATTCAGGCAATTGAAGCGCGCTACAGGTTTGGACAATCTCCTGTAT